AGCTGCAGGTGGCCGACACCCCGGACGGCGAGAAGCAGCCGCAGCTGATCGTGAAGGGGGCGCTGGACCGCGAGCAGCGCGACTCCTACGAGCTGACCCTGCGGGTGCGCGACGGCGGCGACCCGCCCCGCTCCTCGCAGGCCATCCTGCGGGTGCTCATCACCGACGTGAACGACAACAGCCCCCGCTTCGAGAAGAGCGTGTACGAAGCCGACCTGGCGGAGAACAGCGCGCCGGGGACCCCCATCCTGCAGCTGCGCGCCGCCGACCTGGACGTGGGGGTCAACGGGCAGATCGAGTACGTGTTCGGCGCGGCCACCGAGTCGGTGCGGCGGCTGCTGCGCCTGGACGAGACGTCGGGCTGGCTCAGCGTCCTGCACCGCATCGACCGCGAGGAGGTCGGCCAGCTGCGCTTCACCGTCATGGCGCGCGACCGCGGGCAGCCCCCCAAGACCGACAAGGCCACCGTGGTCCTGGTCATCAGGGACGAGAACGACAACGTGCCGGCCATTGAGATCCGCAAGATCGGGCGCATCCCGCTCAAGGACGGGGTGGCCAGCGTGGCGGAGGACGTGCTGGTGGACACGCCCATCGCGCTGGTGCAGGTGTCGGACCGCGACCAGGGCGAGAACGGCGTGGTCACCTGCACCGTGGTGGGCGACGTGCCCTTCCAGCTGAAGCCGGCCAGCGACACCGAGGGCGACCAGAACAAGAAGAAGTACTTCCTGCACACCTCGGCGCCGCTGGACTACGAGGCCACCCGCGAGTTCCACGTGGTCATCGTGGCGGTGGACTCCGGCAGCCCCAGCCTCTCGAGCAACAACTCGCTGACCGTGCGGGTGGCGGACACCAACGACAACGCGCCGGCGTTCGGGCAGGCGGTGGTGGAGGTGTACTTCCCCGAGAACAACGCGCCCGGCGAGCGCGTGGCCACCGTGCTGGCGAGCGACGCGGACAGCGGCCGGAACGCCGAGGTGGCCTACGCGCTGGACCCCTCGGTGGCGGGGGTGTTCGCCATCGACCCCGACTCCGGCGACATCCTGGTGCACGCGGTGCTGGACCGCGAGCAGACCGACCGGTACGAGTTCACGGTGACGGCCAGAGACAAAGGCGTCCCGGGGCTGCAGGGCAGCGCCACCGTGATCGTGCAGGTGGCCGACAGGAACGACAACGACCCCAAGTTCATGCAGGACGTCTTCACCTTCTACGTGAAGGAGAACCTGCAGCCCAACAGCCCCGTGGGCATGGTCACGGTGATGGACGCCGACAAGGGGCGCAACGCCGAGATGAGCCTGTACATCGAGGAGAACGGCGACGTGTTCTCCATCGAGAACGACACGGGCACCATTTACTCCACCGTGTCCTTTGACCGCGAGCAGCAGACCACGTACACCTTCCGAGTCAAGGCCGTGGACGGAGGGGACCCCCCCAGGTCCGCCACAGCCACGGTCTCGCTCTTCGTGATGGATGAAAATGACAACGCCCCCGCGGTCACCCTCCCCAGAAACCTGTCCTACACTTTGCTGCCCCCTTCGAGCAACGTCAGGACGGTGGTAGCTACGGTGCTGGCCACGGACAGCGACGACGGCATCAACGCAGACCTGAACTTCAGCATCGTGGGGGGGAACCCCTTCAAGCTGTTCGAGATCGACCCCACCAGCGGCGTGGTGTCCCTGGTGGGGAAGCTCACGCAGAAGCACTACGGCTTGCACAGGCTGGTGGTGCAGGTGAACGACAGCGGGCAGCCGGCCCAGTCCACCACCGCGCTGGTGCACGTGTTTGTCAACGAGAGTGTCTCCAACGCCACGGTGGTGGACGCCCAGATAGCCCGGAGCCTGCACACCCCGCTCACCCAGGACATCGCCGGCGACCCGAGCTATGAAATCAGCAAGCAGAGGCTCAGCATTGTCATCGGGGTGGTGGCTGGGATTATGGCAGTGATCCTAATCATCTTAATCGTGGTGATGGCAAGGTACTGCCGGTCCAAAAATAAAAACGGCTATGAGGCCGGCAAGAAAGACCACGAAGACTTTTTTACACCCCAGCAGCATGACAAATCTAAAAAGCCTAAAAAAGACAAGAAAAGCAAAAAATCTAAGCAGCCTCTCTACAGCAGCATCGTCACTGTAGAAGCTTCCAAACCAAACGGGCAGAGGTACGACAGCGTGAACGAGAAGCTGTCGGACAGCCCCAGCATGGGCCGGTACCGGTCGGTGAACGGGGGGCCCGGCAGCCCTGACCTGGCCAGGCACTACAAATCTAGTTCCCCGCTGCCCACTGTCCAGCTTCACCCCCAGTCACCCACGGCAGGGAAAAAACACCAGGCCGTGCAAGATCTGCCACCAGCCAACACGTTTGTGGGAGCAGGAGACAACATCTCCATTGGATCGGATCACTGCTCTGAATACAGCTGTCAGACCAATAACAAGTACAGCAAACAGGTAAGACGCATCCCACACCTAATGTAACTACCCCGGAGAAGGCCGGTAACTCTGGGGCAGAGCATCTTCTGCAAAGTGTGGCCTTCTCTTTGCGTTAAGGCTGTGATTTAAGGTTTTAATAGCAGGAAGTTAATGGCCACTCAGACAACATTATTTTGGTAGAGCCCGTCTGTGCAAGGGGCACCACTCGTGTGTTGCAAGTTAGACCCACGTTTACTAAGCGACTAAAGAAAATATTCAGAGTAGGCAGTGTTTTGTACCTCTTTGTGCTTACAGCCTCAGTTCATCCTAATACTGTGTTTCCAGAAGAAATACGGATACATTGTTTGGATGGTTAGCTTTAACCTGAAATGATTTTTTGTTTATTTATATTTTTGTGGCTACTAAGGGGAAAGGTGCATCCAGACAGAATTTCGAAAGTTGCTACTGCTGGTATCTCTGCAACTTGGACACTGTAGAAGTTTCAGCAGTGTTACACCTTATGCAGAATCTTACAGAGAAAGAGATGCTGAGTCATGCTAATGTACCAAGTCTGAAATACAGAAGTACTGACTGTTGACAAAAATGCTGGTTTGAAAATATTTAGTGATAGGCAGATGTCATGCAAAACCACATTTTTAATACTTCTGCACCTATAGCAGTTAGACTTCTATGAGGTTATATGATCAGCATTTGCATCCTTCATGTTTGGTATTAAAAGTTTATAAGCAAAAGTACATTGTATGAACCAGGTATTTAAGCAAAGCAACAAAAGTGTTCCTGTCTGTGGGCAAGGTGATGTTGGTATACATTGTGCTATACTGAGGCTGTCAAAGTTATGTGAAATATTTGGTACAGTTGTTTCTCAGTGAAGTGTAGAAACAGTAAAAAAAAAAAAAAATAGTACATTTTGAGGTTAACTGCATAAAATGTAAAATTTATTTTTTGAAAGTTTTGCTTGGGTGATATATAACACTCACAAGTTTACTTTTTACACCCAGCAAACTTTGACACACAGCAAATAAACCCTTTGGGGAACTGCTGTAATGTGGTAGCCCCTCTGCTAATAAATCTAATAAATGACATATTCCTTAATTTCAGACTTATCTCAAGAAACACATTTATCACTATCAAAGAGTATCACTAATAGTTTTTCTATTAGATCTGCTTTGCATGTGGAATGTGTGATCTGAGAATAATTAAGGCAATGGAAAAAGTTATTTTAAGCCTTATAAAACCGAGCTATTTGGATAAGGAGAATCAGAGTTGATAATGCTTTTATATCCAATAATCAAAGCAATCCAAGAAAACACAGGTTTGAACTGCATTGCATTAAGTGGCTTTTGAAAATACGTCTTTTGATGCACTTGAGCCGGAGTTATTTACTTCTTTTAAAGTGAAATTTAACAACTGGAAAGTTGATGTCTGTTGTGTCATTGCTTTACCTGGAGTTAGAAGCAGATTTTTGTTTTCTTTTGGGTGCTTTTATCAGTTTTCTAAACAGGGGCAATTGAGGTTAAAATAATAGCACTTTTGTAAAATTACTTATAAGATAAACACCCACAAATAAATTGAGATCTGTAGAAATTTCCCTAGTAAATGGTAATTTGTAAAGCAAAAGCCAGTGAGGAGATCTTTCTGCAGAATATTTACTACTCAGCTGTCATTCCTAATAGGACTTTTTGTCTTGTGGCTGAATGGCATTTGCATTCTAAATGATGGAACCTGAAACTTTTGAGTTGACACATCCCTGGCAGATTTATAGATTTTCTTTTTTTTTTTAATGTAACCACCTCATATGTTCTGTGCTGTCACTTAGGCTTTCTTTGGCTCATCAAATGGGGTTAACTCTATATTCTTGAATATTTGAAACAGCCAATACCAAGACTGTTGTGGCATCCTGTTTAAAGGCAAAGTGATATGCTCATAAATAAACTAATGTATGGTGTAAGTCTCTTAGCTGAGCAAAGAAGTTCACATCCCCTGCAAAGCCAATGGAATAAATCATGCCGTTTTCAGAAAGTGACTTTGGAAAACTTGTATGTCATTAGGTATTCAACAGATGTATAAAGTTTTAACCACAATAAATAGCTGACCTAAAATGAAATAAAGGGGAATGGAATACATTCCCCTTAATGTAATTAGTAATAGTAATTGATACACTTCATCTCAATATTGCTGTCAGGGGACAGGGATCCATTTACAAAGTTACATTTCCTTTAGGCATCTGACATAATAAACAGGCTCTTTTTTGGTTCTGATTTTTGTTTGTAGCATACATGATTTTTCTCTTTTTATTAAAAAAAACAGATATTACCTTTAGATTTTACACAATGCCAGAATGCATTTTCTTTGATTAAACTTGACATAAAATAAAATTTTAAAAATGAATACAGGGTTTTCTTATATTTCCCCCCTTTGATACTGAATCTAGAGGGTTGCCATCTTTTAATTCCTTACTGGAGGGATTAATTAAAAACCTGAGATTTCATCTGACATGAAGCCTTTTTCCTAAATTGCTTTATCATAGTTCTTTACTTGATATTATGGAAGTGGTGTCTGTTACAATGTTCTTATCTTCATGAAATGAGACATTTTGAAGTGGTGCTCCTAAGTCCTCTTAACGGCTACATTGCAATAAACAGCTTTGTAGAAATAAAAGTTTGTAAATAATGCCCCTCTCCCTCCATGTTAGGTTTGTTTTCACAGCTCTAGCGACATTCAAAGGCAGCTTCTATAGTTACCCTTGGGTAGAAGCTAGGAGATGTGTGTTGCAGAGTTGCTGGAATTCTTTCTAAAATTCACACATTAGGAAAACTGATGATGTAAGCCCAGGTTTTCCAAGTTCAGAGGTTTGCAGTGGAAGCTCTTGGTCAATAATCCTGTGTCTAGTTGAACAAAACGTGGACCCTTGACAACACTCTTGAGATTAAGTGTCCACCTTTCCATTTCATTCTTGCTTTGCTTGATAAACCTCGTCTTGGTGGTAATTAAAGTTTTATAACCTGGAAGTACATCTGTGTTTTTAATTTGTAAAATTAAAACGGAAGCATTTTATTTTTCTATTTAGTTTTAAATCTCCAGTGTTTTCTTGTGTTAAGTATTTTTCAGTTTTCTTAAAAAAATTAACATAATTCCAACATATTAGTAAAGTGTAAAAGTACAGTTATCACTTTGCTTATTATGTTCAAGTCCTTTTGAGCTCATCCTGGCCATGCTGTTATTTAGATAATGCACTGGCAAGTAAACACTTTATTGTGTTTAGTAAGTGGAAAATAAGATACTTTATTTTTTGGCAAGAGTATAGAGGATACAGCTTCAGTAAACATTAATTTAAAGATCCATTTGTAGCCGATTCTGAAATACTCAAGAAAAATTTATATTAACTCCAGTGACAGTTTTCCTTTGCGCAAGGAGCTGCTGAGTGTAGTCTGAATAATGTTCTCTTAATTGATCAAGTGTTGCCCAATATTCATTGTACACTTAGTAAAAAAATATGGCAGGAATTATTTTTTTAAATTACTTCGATCTTGGAAAGCAAATGGATGACGTGACTTGCCATCATCTATTAGAGCTCTAAGCAGTGAGAAAATTAAATATCAACTTGTGTACGTATGTTTCACCATCTACGTTACAGTGGAAATGCATCTGCGGAGTGATGTTAACCATAGCGTCCAGTTTTAATTCTATAAGCATAATTTCTACAGTATGGTTCTCCGATCTATAACCAAGGACACCTCTCAGGAGGTACAGTGAATATACATACGGTGGGGTCTCTGTTACCATTGGCCTGATATCTTAGACAAGAATCTAATAACCGAGGAAGGTGAGGCTGTTTTTAGTCAAGAGTATCTCCTAAGGCAGATTACCTGCATCTCTGGGTGGTGCAAGGAAAGGACGGGGCCAGCACTGATTTGATCGCAATGAACATGAACTTTTTTAAGGAAGTTCAGGTGCGACTATTTGAAACTTATCCCAAATTTATTAAGTAAATTAATGACTTAGACCTAAAACCACAAAGTCAATGTATAGATTTTTAAGTAAATAATCACCTGGATAAGTGTAGCCAAATCACTCTACCTTGTTATCTTCCTGTCTTGGAGTAATGACATATTTCATATGTGGAAAAGTGTGCACAGGATACCCACGGCAGGAGCTCTCCCCTCTTTCCGCCTGCGCCCTCCCAGACACGTCCAGATGTGTCGTGTAAGCTAGTGGTGCCACTCGACTTCTGCTTGTGGTATTTGTACCTTGACATGCGGGCTATATTTTAACGCTAAACGCACACAAAATCTGAATAAAACATATGATAATCAACTGCTTCATGTCTGTATCTGAAATCACTAGTCATCACATTTCAAAGTTAAAAGACATCAGCTCAACCTGTCCCCTCATTTTGTAGGCGAGGAGAGTGAGCCGAATATGAAAAAGTAACTTGATTTCATTTTATAGTCACAAGAAAATCGGGGAGATGATGTGGCCTGGAGTCCGAGTCACGGAACGCGGAGCCCACTGCTCTTTTTATTCTCATACCACCTCGGGGGGTGTGTGTGTGAATTTTTGTAGCTTCCTCTGTATATATTCAATAATGACAGGAAACTGCTGAGATATATTTATGTGTCTATAACTGTATATTTGGCTACGTAGATGGACATTTTAAAAATGGAATATAATTCTGCTCTGGGTGCTTGTTTTTATTTGTAAAATTATTGGGCAAATTGACATTCAAATGTTATATAGATTTTTAAAAGAAATTCTTATTTATTTTCCCCTTATGGAAGATGTCCATTGATGACATACATGAAAGGAACTTAACGTGGTTTAGAAGAGATGTTCAACAAGTTAATGGACAGAGTTTATAATTTTAGCAGGACAGTGACAATAGATGTAAGTACCTATCTAGCATTTAGAATATCCTCAGTAAAAACACTCTTTTAGTGGAAATGAATGAAAGCTTTCTATACATTATGTATGAAACCTTGTATGCATTGTATCTGGGATAACCCTCGACCTTTCCCATCAGTCCTGATGATTCCTTTTGCTTCTGCACTCCTTTGCATTTTGCCAGCTTGGCTAATGCACTTTATCTTAGCAGCATCCTTGATGTAAGGGAGGGCCAAACGTAGGGTTACAGTGTGAGTACACAAAACACAGTTTATTATTGTATTCATTATTGTATTATTTTCCATACAAACAACTATAAGTCTACATTTGCCCCACTGTGTACAACTGTGAGCTAATTTTTCCTCTAAATTTGTTTTCTAGCAAAATTTTAGGAGAATGTGACCTTTTGTTGTTTTTCAATCGGATTGTTTCCTTGTTAGACAATTAACAAATCTAGTGGAGTAGAGTCTAAAGAATTTATTAATTTCAAAATGAAATCTGAACTATTTTTAAAACTAAATATAATGTGACAAAACCATTGCTTTGTCATAGCCACTTTAACATCGGTTTTAACATCAATGGTAAACATTTTAACACCGTTTTTTTTTTTTCCCGCTGGGAGAGGGTGGTGATGAAGGTTATGCAGGAAATTTAGTATAACAATTGTTTAGAGCTTTATGTTTAAGATGTGTGTAACCAGTTTCTAGACTATAGCAAGGCTCCCCATCCATTCATTTGCTGTGACTGTATAGAAACAGTAAGATCTGTTTATATATATCTTGAGTCAGCTTTGGTTTTCTTTCTTATTTACTTTAAAAGCCCTTCGAATCTTTTCTAAAGCAGGAACTGTGTTTCGGAACATTACACAGTGCTTTATTTAGCATTAGTGTTGTGGGAGAAATCACATTTTAAGAAGAATTGAGCTGAAACCACTAAAACTAATCTTAATTATCACTTCTGGTGAATTAATGTTTTCAAGGCGGAATAAAGCTTTATTTTCAGGAATTTAGTGATGTTTGTATTGAACTCCAATGCTGTGTACAAACAAACAAACAAACAAAACTTGTCAAAGCTTCCAAGTAGGTTTTATCTGACAAGTTAACTCCCCCCCCCAAGCATATTTATTATTTAAAAATACATAATTTGCGAATAAAAATTCTCTGCTTCAAAACCTCTACCACAGCATTCTCATTGGGCATAAGACGCTGGGGAAAATTTCTTCACTGCATTTTTTTTTTACCTGCATAAACCTTTGTTTTCCTTTTTTCAGATGCGTCCACTTCCACACATGACTGTGTTTGGCTGAATTCCACTCTAAAATGATGCTCCTTTATGCACCATACTCTGATGACCTTGCTACTCCGAAACCTGCTGGAGCCTGCCCTTGGCCGTGGGGTATCAGCCAATCACTGCTCCTTCTACTCGCGCATTTGATTTTCGAGTTTATTTTTTTTTAATTTAAAGGAAAATAGTATTAAAATAAATGAACATAAAAGAAACAGTGTTAATAAAGAAATGTGCTACTAACGGATGTCTAAGTCACCAGGAATTCTATTCTCAAAGAAGCGCTTAGCAGAACTTAATTGTGAAGTCTTTTAAGCAATCCAAGAGCATATTTCAACAATAATTTTAAGACTCTGGCTTTGTGTGAACCAGGGGAAATTAAGTCTATTAAGTCTTTGTCTATAATACACTAAATACCGACTTTCAATAAAATCCTAAATTGATCAATATTTTTAAAGTGTTATATAATCACCACCTTTTCCAGGCCAGTGAGATAGCTCTGCTCGAGTAAAGGATGGTGTCCCTTGCTCATCCTGTGTGTGCATGTCCAAATACCACTGTGTGTGTGCTGGTGTGTGTGTCTCCACACATGTGTACGTGAAGACCTCGAGCAATATTTATAAAAATCATTGGCTATGAATCAAATTTCAGAGATTAGTTTTGTGTTTGTCACAGGCACTGCCAATGGGTTGTTTTTTCCCCCCTTAATCCTGAAATACTGACCAGAGTACCTATAGAATTTTTAAGGCATTTTTTGGTTAAAGTTCTTAAGAAAATTTAGAACCTTTAAGTTAGATTTATGGAAGTCACCGTGGTCACATTCAAAAGGAATATGCGTGGCTTCCTGTTTTTGTGGGCTACATTTGTCTGAAGGCTATTTCTAGTTGATGTCAGATAACATAAATTCCAGCAGCTTCTGAGAATTCAGCATGTTATATTACGTATTGTTGAGAGAGCAGGTGGTCACATTTTAGTTGTATAGGTGATTTTCTAGGTAAGTCAGGGAATCCTCTGGCTCGTCCCTCTGCGTTTGTATATTTATGTCTCTGTTTGTTATGTTGTATATGTTTATGTGCCATAAAATAAGTGTTTCATATGTAATGTTTGACAATTTTATAAAATATCTACCACATCATCTGCCCCATTAAAGTTTTCCCTGAGTTTTGAAATACCAAGAATGCCAGATTCTTGAGATTTTTGGGGGTCAATTATAGTCAATATAAAAGCCCTTTAAGCAAAATAAATAACTACTGGAACAATATTAATGTGTGGAGTGATAAGAAATGCACTTTAGCCTGTGCAGATCTCTAATGCATATATTTCAGGCTTTTTATTCTTTTAGCTATTGATTTAATTTTGTAAAAAAAGGAAATTTTCATAAATATCATTGAGACTATATAGTACATTTCCTGAATAAAACCTAATTATCCTCAGCTCCTCTTCTTACTTTGAGCACAAGGACAAGTAAATATAAGAAGCTGGTGAAAGGAATTTTTACCACTTTCTGCTTCTTGGAAATGTCACATTTCCTCATCCTAAGTAGTAAACTTCCTTAGATGTACTTAACCTTTGAATCCTGTAACAAATCACATTAACTCAAAAACAAATTTTAGACCAAAAAAAGCCCACAATTTGGAGAAAACCTAATGTGCACCTGGCAGAGAGGCATTATTTAGGAACACTTTCCCTAAGAAAATGCTGAAGGCAACATTTGGCAAACTTGGGTTGCAACACCCTCTTGGGGTATGTGGGTCTCTACCACAATTCCAATGACATGAAATAAAGCAGAGAAATTTTGAGGACATCACCCCTATTGTAGGAGTAAATACCGTCTTGTGCATTCTGTGTTTCAGTTGTGATTGTGTGCATGTGTGTGTTCCTGTTCGTGGTTGCTGTGCAAACATTTGTCTTATGGTGGTAGCAGTTGAAAGGGTTGAGAACCACCACTCTAGACTGTTTGGGGTGGGAAATGATGGTGATTTAGTATTACATTAGAAAAACATCATAAATCAAAACAAAAAAATTACTGACTTTCCCAAGGATTTTAGTCTACTATTAAGCTGAATCAGAATGATCAACAGCATACTCTTACAGCAGCATTTATCAACAGCAAAAAGCTTTTGAGAATCTGTTATCACTCCTGTTTTTTGTTTCATTTTTTTTTTTTAATCTTTGAATATGTCGCCATTGGTCCTGCCTCTGCACAGACTTGTCCTCTCTCCTACTTCCCTGTCTCTTGGCCAACCTCCTTTGTAAATTCTGGAATTTACCATTTAGGGAGGCGCCTGTGGTCAGATGGAGATAGACCCAGAACACAACATCCATCACCCTACATATTTTAGCATTTGGACATTTCATTTTAGACAATAAGACAATAATTCCTTCTCTATTAAGAGTTTACAGACCGGTTTAGATAAAATTTCTTTCTTTTTTAATATATATTTTAATATGTCTTTATTGATTTCAGAGACAGGAAGGGAGAGGGAGAGATAGAAACATCAATGATGAGAGTCATTGATCAGCTGCCTCCTGCAGGCCCCCTGCTGGGGATTGAGCCCCCAACCAGGGCATGTGCCCTGACCGGGAATCGAACCCTGATCTCCCGGATCCTAGTTCGATGCTCAACCGCTGAGCCACGCCAGCTGGGAAAAATTTATTTCTTTTAACACATCTGACATCCTCACTCATACTTAGTATGCAAAGAATACTAAGAGTCTTCGACCTTAAGGAATTAATATGGTATAAAGAAGGTTACAGAGCAGAAAAACGATAGATTATATCTGCCTCGTGCTTTCTAAGTTTGAAAGAATTGGACCTATGCCTTGTAAGGAAAAGCACCTTCTCTATTTTTTTCTGAGGTGAGGAAACTGAATTAATGAACAGGTTTTTCATGACTCTGGTGGAATTGCTTAAGAACTTTAAAACATCTATGAAGAAATATCCAGTCAGAATCCAAGAGTACTGAGAGCATTTGGAGGAAGTCGTGAAAAGTGTGCTTTTGAATACAGTGTATTTTCAGAATTATCTGGGTAAAGTCTTCCCCAAAGACTTATTTAGACAAGACCCAATTTTTCAGACAGTCTCCTGTCATAAACAGCACTTCATACTATCAAAAAAGGAAGTGCTCTGGGTGTTGTTTGAAGATCTAATTAATCTGATTTATAAGCAACAATCTCATATGTGATTAAAACCCTCAAGAATTCGGTAATTCACTTTAACCTAACTTTATTTTTGAGGCTATCTCTAAAATAAAGACCAAAGTCTTTAGGAAGTAATTGCACAAATTAAAATATCTCTCTGGAAATAATCTATCTGTAGTTTTGCAAAACACTTTTCTTTGATGTGTAATTGTTTTTAGCCATTCATTTCACAGAGAATGGATTGATTTGTCGTATCTTTAATACACACTGCAAGGCTTTAGGATGTAATTAAAACGATGACTAGAACAAGATCTTGGCCTTCATGGATAGGACAGTGGAAAAATAAAACACATAAGGCAAGGGATACGTGAAACTTAGAGGGACCGCCCCCAAGTCTGTGTTGTTGACCATGGTGCCCAGCATACAGGAAACACTCAGGGATATTTGTTGAGCAAATGAACAAATGGCGTGGACTTTGGTGCTAAGCAGCCTGCAGATCCATCCCCGTTGGATGGCTGGACTAGGGTGTGGCCACTTTCATATTAGACTGAGAGCCTCCTAACTGTTGTTTGCCTTCCCTGCTGGGTGGATGGTTTTGTGATAAGAGGCTACCGGCAGGTTGGCTAGAGTCCCTGCCTTCTCTGCAGGGGGTATCACTCTTGTTTCAGCAGCAAATGAACAGTTCTCTTCATTCCCCCTCCTTCCTTCCCCTTGGTGGTGTTCTAAACACCATACCCTTAAAAAGAAGGTAAAACTAGTAAACTAAAGCAAACGTTGAAGGCAAGTAAGGGCGGCACTGGCCACACACCTGCACTTCTGACGTCTCGCGAGGGGTATGAAGCAGCATGCAAACGTTCGGGTTTTTCAGCGTTGTTCTGGAGATCTTCATCTGTGGGAAACGTACATATGGGGTTGGGCAAAAGGAGGGTTACAGCTGTTCAAATGGAAAATAATGTAATAATTAACAAACACCAATACAAGAATAAACTGTGTTTCATGTACTCACAACTGTAAGCCTGCTTTTGCCCCAACCTGTGTATGTGCCTGAATACATGTGTGAGCCTCTGTACTCATCAATTTATATATATATATATATATATATGTATATTCCTGCAGGCATTTATCCAGCGTCCCAACCCATGCTCGCTGATAAAGGATAGGTTTCCGTTTTCATTGACCTGCTCGTGGTGAGCGGTCATTTCTAAGGATGAAGCATGCACCTGGTTTAACTAAGGACTGAGGGTCTGCAAGAGGGAATATGCCCTCACTGGGACTGGCTGCCCTGGCAGTGAGGCAGGAGCTAAGAAGTGCTTTGCGGCTCCGAAGCACTCCTTGGTTGCCCAGGACTCTGAAGAGCACCTCTTTTAAATTGCAAATGATTGGGAAGGAGTCGCGTTCAGTCTCTGGCACACCTGGGTGTAAATTGCATTAAGCAGATAACTAGGTCGGCACCTCACAAAGATCGATGATCGTTCTTAAGAAATGGTGATTTCCATTAGGGCCTTGAGGTGGGTAAGCAGCCTTCAGTAGTTGAGAAGACAGAGCTTTGGTGAGGCGGGCCGCGGAGGAAGGTGAGGTGAGATTGCGTCAGGGAAGGGTACTCATGCCAGGGAAAGGCAAATGTTTGTGGCCTTGACTTTTGGCCACTGCCCTGGTGAGCATGAGGGTGCCACTAAATGTCCTGCTGAATATGGCTGGACGACCCATGTCAGAGTGGCGAACGTCCACTTCCTCCACTTCCACCGGGTGTTTGGTTTTGGTGTGTTTTTGTGGCTTCTACTCTAGAATATCAGGTGCAAGTGCTCAGTCTCCATCTATCTTCTACCCCTGTACTTTTGGGAGAAAGATAAAAAAAGCAAAGGAAAAAAGAAGAAAAGGTGCAACTGCTGCATGGCAATATACTCACCTTCCCCCTGCTGTTATCATTAGACCACCATCATCAAAATGGTTTTCACATTGTTGCCATGTCATTGTTTCTTGTTAATTCAATTCTCAGAAATTGAGTTCTAGCCCTAGTGGATTTGGCTCAGTGGTTAGAGCACCTGAAGGGTCTCGGGTTCGATTCCAGCCAAGGGCACGTACCTCAGTTGCAGGCCTGATCCTCACCGAGGCGGTGTGTGCGGGAGGCAACCCATCCATGTGTCTCTCTCACATTGATATTTCTCTTTGTGTCTCTCTCTCCCTTCCTCTCTCTCTGAAAAGCAAAGAAAAAATATCCTCAGGTGAGGATTTAAAAACAAACCATGAGTTCTAGTAGGTCTGCACTATAGCCCAGACACCTGATTTTTAACACTTCCCTTTCTCAATTCTAATTACAGAGGGTGGGTTGGGCTATAAAAATTCTACGTCTAGAGCTCCTGAGATTCCTAACTTTTGCTTAGTGGTTTTCCTCTCGCAGGCCTCTGGCAAAATAGAAAACTGAAGCTGGGTAAAGCAACCTGAAAATCTGCCTTCTTGCCCTGGCTGTCACTGACTGGCCAGTGTGACCTTGTGTAGCAAGTCCGTTCAAGTCCGGAAGCCCCTGGAACTTGTCTTCTGTCATTTTACGTCACTCCTGCTCTGCCTACATGACAGGGGTCGTGGGGGGTCAGGTTAAACAGCTGGAACTTTGTAAAGCACGCTGCAACTTAAGGTAATGGTCTTAGTTATTCATGAATTTCTCTAAACCCCCCCAAGGTGCAGTTACACTTTTGGGGTACTTTTTATGTTTAAAAGTGTTGTTTTTTTATTTGTCGTAATCACGTTTTTGAAGACTGTGATAGTCTCTTATCCTGGCTGATTTCTTCAAAGTGACACTGATCCTTGGTTGAGGTCGAGGTGCACGTGCCTGTGGCTCTGCATACGCCCACAGGCGCTGGATATTGTCAGAAATACTTTCAGTGCCTATTAGCACCTCAGTGGTGGAGAAAGATAAGTAGCTTATTGTTGTAAAGCAAATAGTTTAGGAAAGGCTCAGAACAGTTGGATATCATTCATTTTGACACTTTTTAAAAAATTCCATCACCTTTTAACAGTCATTTTTTTCCTTCCATGCAATATTTCCTGGGAGTTTTTCCTTCACTCCTCAGGCTCAGCCTGTAACATTAACAGGTATTATTTATTGAGCTTTTTGTTCTTTGCC